CCAAGATGAGAAAATGCATGGGCCAAGACAGAGCTGGGCTTTGCCTGGCACTGAATTAAGTATGTGCCTGTGTGTGGATTCTAACAGTAGACTCGTGCACGCTGGTACATTTCAATCGGACAAGACATGAACAGGTGTGGTCTTTCAGACACTATAACCTAGTTAATCAATAAGACATATGTAAAAAGTTTACAATATATGAAAATAGTTATAGAGGAAGCCTTGCCTGGAGATCTATACCCAGCAACCTAATATAATATTAGGCAGAATATACATATTAGCAGCTAACATTTCATAGGTACTTACTTGCCAGGCATTCTGCTAAGCACTTTTTATGTATTAATTAGATCTTCAGGATGACCGTATGAGATAGGAACTATTATTATCTTCATTTTACAAATAAGCAAACTGAGAGACAGAGAAAATATTTATAGCCAAGGATTCTATGCACCAGACTTTAAGAAGACTACTGTTCTAGAATATTGTGGGAAACTCTTTGTTGACGTGACTCTATCCCTTTCCTAAATTTCTTTATATGTATATAAAGATTATATATATGCTGGATTATACACGGTAGGTGTTAGAAAAGTCACGTTCAACCAAGCAGCAGAAACTGGATTCTGGAAATTCACTTAGGCTGATGATAAAATTAAGGCTTCATTATCCAAACACACAGAAATGACGAGGCCTTCTGCGTCCATCCCCAGGCCTGAGCCATCGGGGGGTGACCAAGGCAAGGAGACTCCTCTCCCCTGGAGTGACAGCTAGAATGGGATGAGGCTCAGCTAAAGACCAGCCCTGAGGAGAGGCTTGATCTCAGCAAAACTATGTGTGTAAAACCCCTGTGCTCTGATGGAAGGGACCAGCAATGATCACCAACACCTTTACATCACTAGAGAAATTATAAGAAAGTCAAGATAAAATGGTTTGAAATACCCAAGATTAAACAGGGTAATAATGCACTTCACAATAAGCATCAGAACAGCTATGAGACTAAAAATAAATATGCTGCAATTTGCTAAAAGAACGTACTAAAGGAGATGCCGGGGTGACAACTCAGAGCCCAAAGGCGAGCCTCCCACTAAAGAGCAAAGAAACAGTGACAGTTCCCCTCCTGGGGTTTGGTGGGGTCAGGTCCCTGTGGACCAATACCTCCGGGATCCCTGTAAGCTGGAGTCGTCATAGCTTTATATCTGTATACTTATTTTACAATACTTTTATAGTACAGCAGGTCCTTGAATAATGGTGTTTCATTCAACATCATTTTGTTATAACATTGATAAGATGCCATAAGAACTTAACTCTTGTTTATATCAATTTGATGGTAAAATTGGTTTCGTTATATTTCGTTTCACTTAGTCGCAGAACTTATCAATGACATTGAGGACTTACTATACTTAACTATATGCTAGGTTCTAGCCTAAGCTCTTTACAAATACCAATACCAATTCATTTAATCATCAAGACAACATTACGAGGTAGGTACAAGCACTATCATCCCTGTCTACAGATGCAAAATCTGAGAGGGGCGAAGTAATCTGTCCAAGATCATCGAACTGGTAAATGGGAATTGAACTCAGATAGACTAGCTCTCAATGCCTCAGTTTTAACCAGTATGTTATGTAAAAAGGATTTGGGGGAGTAGGAATTTGGTCAATGTCATTCATGTTCATTTTCATACTTCTGAGCCATCACCAGAGACTGCAAAATTTTCAATACAAAATATCAAAGTCGCAGTGGGCTCTCATTTGAGAATAATGAACTGTAACACTCTGTAAAATAAACATCATGGCTTTTGGAGTTTTAAATTGCTAAGCAGACTTTGTTAAGAAATGTATGCACACACACACATAGACATATATACAGAAGTATATATACATATATAATCTATAGTTATATGTAAATAATACATAAAACCAGAAATAAGCTGTGACTCATTTCTTCACCTGCCCCATTTGCTTATGAGCAGAGGAACAGACACAGACCTAAGATCCCCAGTGTCAGCTTACATCTCTTTTTTTCTGGGATTGGCTTATCTATGGTTTGCAAAGCTCTCATTAGTCAGGTGGCAACAGTGGCCATGAGGGAAGGAAGCGACGTTGCCTAGATTCATAAAGGTCTATGACTGTGGTAAGCCTTTCTTGAACATGGAGGCTGGCAGGGTAGGATGGAATTGAAAGGCTAAAGGCATTCTATTGTAATTAGGAAAAGATGAGCTTTGAAAATATGGTCTAATTCACAACCGAAAGGATCATTAATTCAATATTAGTTTGTCTTTCTAGTTTATATTCTTATGTATTATATAGTTAGCAGCTGGCTGCTCCTTTAAACCATTCAGGGACATACACATTCAAATTAATATTTTCTGGAAAACTGCATTCCTTCCAGATGAGATGGCAAAGTCACTTTTAATTTATTTCTTAAGGGCCTTGGTTTGAAGGAATAAGAAATGACCAGGCAGCCAATAGGTGTGATGGAAATTCTTATAGTATATATATGTATGTATATATATATATATATATATATATATATATATATATATATATACACATATATATAG